AATAATATCTTCTAAATCAAGGTGTGCTCCTGTTGTAGTAATGTTGTCAACTATGGACACTTTTTGTGATGTGGCCAAAAAGACAAACTTTCGTTTAGCTTAAAATTGTCATCTACTTCAAAATTATTTGACTTAATATATACAAATGTTTTGGGACCCTCTCCGTTTCCCTCATTTCAAGATTTAAAATACCATGTTCTTCTTATAGATGATTTTTCCAAACATTGTTGGCTTTATCCAATTCATACAAAATCTTAAACAAATACCATCTTAATTCATTTCATTACAATGATAGAAAATTAGTTCAACACAAGAATCAATGCTCTAAAATATGATGGCAATAGCGAAGATAGCGATTATAAATCTCTCCAACTTCAACAATTTCATCTAGCCCAAAGAATTTTGCATCAATTTACCTTCCCTTATACACCATAATAAAACAGCGTTACTAAATGCAAGCATAGACAATTTAATTACACCTTTTTTTTCTTGCTTAATTTTTTTTTTAATAACTTTTTGTTATATATATATATATTACTTGCCCCCCTCAAAATTGAACCTGGTTCCACCCCTGTGTACTGACATTTGGTTAACCTTGGAGAAAAGGCTACAACCCTGTGTACCGACATTTGGTTAAACATTCAACACGACCATCATTGGAGTATATGAGCAATTTTGTTTTATTAGTTGAACCTTATCGATCAACTCTGTCTTATTTGCCGATAGATGATCAGGTTCGTTGTTGTCTTGGTGTTTTTGGTAGGTTCTTAAGAATTAATCCCTCCGGTTGAGATTTCCTATAAACACGGTCATCATTGGAATAATTCATTTTGTCTTATTAGTTGAACCTTCTTGACGCTATTTTATTTGCCGACAGAGGATCATGTGCTTGGTTATCATTGATTGTAAGAGCATCTTCACAATCCTTACACATCCAGTATGCTCATCTGCATGTTGCTGTTGACTACCAATGACATACATTTATTGTTGATTTTCGTGCGCATGCTGGTCGACAGTATGTACTGGGTGCAACAGATATCCTATAGTAGCTCGTTGGGGTTCGCACCTATTACCCCAATGGGTGGTTACTCGCCGCATTGCAAGAGCTGAGGATAGGATTTGGACCTTTTATATCTTTGCAAAGCAACGGAGAAATTGTAGCCTAGAACAAGGCAAGACAAATTTTTTTTGCTTTTCTTTTTTCTTTTTATAATAATAATAATAATAATTGTTGCGGGCTAGAATATACACGGCGATAGAGTTATAATTCTACGTCTTAGCATTGCACGGATATCCAGCTCACACACAAAGAACACAATATTTTTTACGTGGAAAACCCAGAAAGGGAAAAAACCATGGGGCCTAGCCCAGTTGAAGATGATTCCACTAAAATTTGAGGAAAATACAATGGTCTGACTCGTCCTTGAAGATGACTAGATTACAGATATCAACTGAGAGTTTTACAAAAGTCCAACGTCACTCCACTATCAGGTGGTGGTCCAGCAGCACTCCGGTGTCAGGCGGTGGATCGGTAGTGGCACTTTAGTGTCAGGGGATACTTCAGCTTTGGATGGCACTTCGGCGTCCCTTGGTGGTCCGTCGGTGGTGCGGCAAGACTACGGCGGTGGTGCGCACGGTAGCTCTCTGGTGTCCCTTGGTGGTCTGGCAGTGGTGCGGCAAGACTACGACGGTGGTGCGGCAGCACTCCGGCGTCCCTTGGTGGTCCAGTGGTAGTGCGGCAAGACTACGGCGGTGGTGCGGCAGCACTCCGGTGTCCCTTGGTGGTCTGGCGGTGGTGCGACAAGACTACGACGGTGGTGCGGCAGCACTCCGGCGTCCCTTGGTGGTCCGGCGGTGGTGCGGCAGCGCTCCGGCATCCCTTGGTGGTCCGGCGGTGGTGCGGCAGCGCTCCGGCATCCCTAGGTGGTCCGGCGGTGGTGCGGCAGCACTCCGGCGTCCCTTGGTGGTCCGG